GGAGTGATGGTTTGAAGGCAATTCCCCCGATAGTAAGGGCCTTGACCAATCTACATGAAATAGGTTTGAAATTGATGTCCACCCAACTTCGCTGTTATTGTCCGTCAGAATCTGGTGATATGCCCCCCTCCTTTAGCACAAATAAGCACATAATATCATAAGTTGATGAGGCAGAAGTGGGGATGTTAGTACCATGCCTTCTTGGACGTGGCACTCCGACGTGACCCAGCTGTTTGATCAACTTGCCTTCTCCTACTGACATCACCCACCTCCACTCACCTCCACTCATCGCCGGCATGATGATCGCGAAGGCACACGAATAATGTGTCAAGCTGTCAGTGATCTCCTACTCACACGTCTTCAGTGAATGGTAAGTGAGTGGCGAAGAAGGCCAACTACCTTCTCTAAGGGTGAACTTCATTTATCCCCTGCCTACACCTCATAAATTCACATTTACACCTCACATCTTTCTCACCCATTGGTCCTTTCTTCACTTGTCGGCGCTAATCAATAACCTGATCACTTTTATTGTTGAAATTAAGGGAAAAGGTGCGATGAAATTGTACCTTTAAATACCAAAGACTTTCACATGCATAAATCATCAATAAGCATATCAAGGTTTATTCTTCATAAAGCCAGTGCTACTAATCGGGCAATCTTTCACCAAAACCGTGATACTTTGTTATTTTGACTACAGAATAAATCCTTTTAAATGAATGTTGATATCGTCCATTTTAGATAGAAAAAGCAATCATCATAGGGTTTACTCCAAAATGTCTGTGAAACCTCCATTTAACTGTTTCGGATTGAGTATCTGAATCTCTACCTTGTTAACTGACCCGTCCTTTATCCAGTACCCAGGTCTATCTTCTGATTCATCTAAATAATATTACGTTTGTTGGAACATTTCACGTTTGTTTCTTCCACTTAACATAGCCCAGTGATATGATGACACCTAAAGACATGGATGGAAACGTGTTGTTTGACATGGTACATGTGCTAGACATCTGACTGGTGAGCTTCACATCATTTAAATGTCATAAAAAAATTTCTTAACCTAGTTATATTCATTTGAAGTGTAGTTGCATCCTGAAAATTAACAGGCTCTGGCCGACCCTGTAACACTGTGGCTGTGTCGCTATATTGGTCCAACCAATTTCAAAGTGAATCGGCCTAAAACAATCCTTGTCAGCTCTCAAATTCCATCCCTGATGCTGCAAATTATAGCCAACGCTGCGTGTCGCCATTATTCACTCAGATTTGGCATAATCGAGAGGCATCTTAGTAAGCAGTTGCTACTAGCCCCCTGCCCTTTTCCTACCTCTTTGTTTAGTCTTGCTTAGCAACGCATTTTGAGTTAATCTTGTGGACACGGGGAGTTTTTGCTTGTGTAACGAGCATTCATTTTTGAACAAGCCTATCGTATGGCATAACGCCAGCTCAGAATATCTATCGTAACACTAGTCGACAGGCTGAATGTCAGCAGTATAACAGTCTTGGTAAAGTTCGCACAAGTCCCAATTCCCGCGATAACTTTGTGCTTACTTGCCGTGAGACGGCAAAATGGGTGAGAAGAAGGATGTGCTGCCTAAACCTCCACATTCTTCCTCTAATTAGAGCTGTAGGAAATTCGCACAGGGAAACGGCAGTATAGACAGCAGTCTACCAGTGGATAGTCACATGCATGTCTGTATACAAGGACTGTTCACCAATAATGCACTCCTCCATCTTCGGATAAGTTAAAAAAACACGTTAGCTTTGAATGGACCATCTCGTTGCTATGGCTTGCCCTCTCTCCTGTTTGTCCAATGCAATGCACAGGTCCCTGTAAACCATCCACTGCGTATTCCGTGACACAATAAACGCACTCACCAAAGTGTAAGCACCCTTTCAGTACCACGGCACTTGATCTTGCAGCAATATGCGCATGTATGGGAGCTTATGTCGTAATGCCACAGCAGCGGAGGTGAGATTGAA